TTAAAATCTACGACATTGGCTTAATTTGAAAAACACCATGATTCGACAGGTTGTACATAAAAAGTGCAAAGAATCAGTTTTCTACAAACTCGAGGACTCTAAAAGTGTTTTTACTTTTGTTAAATTCACCAGTAAGTACCAAACAATATATTACATGTATTTTAAAATATACCTCGAATTTAAAGAAAAAGGAAGTTGCTTTTTATGTACTCTTCACCTTGTCAAATGTCAATCAGTTAATAGCAACATGAGTAGTGCAAGTTTTAAAAGCCCTATTTTATGAACCAATCGATGAATGAAAAAGTTGATTTTTAAGTAACAAAAAGATGAATAAAACCCTATTGTATAAAGCAGAACAAAAACCTTTATGAATATTATGCTTGATAAACTTTATCAATAAAAAATGGAACATTGGTTGTTCAGAAATGGGTTTAAAAGTTTAATAGAGGAATTTTATTTTTTTTATAGTATACAGGACGGCGACAGGTGGATAAACTACAAACGATATTAAAAATGCCCAGTGTCCCAGTCCAGAATACCAATATAAAGTTATATTTTTTAAATGGGACACCCTATATTTGTTGTAAAGTTTGAAATATCCGCCTTATTATGATGCACTCAGCGCCCTCTCTTGCTTACTTATTGAATGTCATGTTTATCATAGGACGATATAGTGCTGAAGTAGTTAGTCGTAATATAGTCGTTGCCGAAGAACAAGTGTTTGGTATTATTTTAAACCTACCAAGTTTTCCATTTTTAACAATATTTTCATTCAATTCTAAATTCAAGTCTTAAAAATAATCTTACTTTAATGATTTTTTATGCCTATCTTTAATAATTTCCGATTTATTTGACATTAAAAATGTAATGCTCTCGTAAATAATTAATTACTCTTAGATTATAAACCCAGATAGCACACGACGTCCATTGGTCGTCCATATTTTGTCCAAATAATGTCCTGGATGTCCATGAACTTCATATGGATGTCAGAAGTTCAATGGAAGTCCAAAAAATATCCATGATGGACACTATCAAAATGACAAACTTATAATAGTATGAAAGTAAAATGGTAATTTAAAGAAGCAATGAGCAGTGTTTTGTTTATACAGGGTGGCGACTTTAACTGGCGCAAATTCGCTACAGCTTCAGGTTGAAAAATGCGGATAAAACGCAAAAACACGCCGATTGAGTTTTTTTTGTAAGCTTTCCGGTCATACCAAACAAAATTTTTTTTTCATCCCCTTTACAGGGTAAAACTCACCCCGACTTCAGTTTTTTAAACGGGATGATACCACTTGTGGCACCTTGTTGGAAAGGTCTTTCCATTTTTTTTTCATTTTTACCCAATGGTAATTTTCTAGCGTGAAAAAATTATTTCATATCAAAAAATTCTTCTGATGCTTACAAAACCATTCTAAGGTACAGTTTTAAGTGGTCAGTATTTTCTCAATTTTTTTTTTTAGAAAAGTGTATGAACCGCATTATCTCAATTTAGACTTTTAATTGTAAAAAAGGGACTCGGAAAAAATAAAGGTAAGTATAGGTACAAAAAAATTATCGCATCTTTATCAATTGTAAAGCTGCAATGAATCAATTTATTGTCTGTCGAATTAGTATTCTTCATTTTCGTTAAAAATGCCGGCGTATTTAACGGAAACTTTGAAAATAGAAATTTTGATGATGATTGGGTTCGGGGATCGTATGCGTACCCAAGCAGAAGTTGCGGCATTATTTCAAGCGCGACATCCAGAATTGCCTCCGTTACACCGGGCTACAGTAGGCAAAATTGAGGCTCATTTCAGGTTGCAAGGGCATTTACGGCAAATTCCTCGAGAAAGGTCACAACGAGTAGACGAAGACACTAGACTAAATGTTCTTCTAACATTTGAGGAAAATCCAATCAGTTCTGTCAGACGAGTTAGTAGGGAATTTTGATTTGTGCCATAAAACTGTATTGGCTATCTTGAAATCTGCTGGTAAAAGACCCCTCAAAACGAAGCCTGTGCATGAGTTGATGGAAGATGATCCCGATCGGAGGGTGGAGTTTTGTGAAACCATAATGAGACAAATCGATGATGGAAATATTTTACCGAATTGAATATTGTTTTCCGATGAATCAACTTTTACTTTAATTGGAGAGATGGGTCTTTTTGATTAGGCACCTATCGATAACTCGAACAATATTGTTAAATCTGTACGCTTTAGGAACGTTAGTGATCAAAGATCTTTAACTTTTGTCTTCATTTTTATGTAAATCGTCAAAATTGTAGGTATTATGCAGAAACAAATCCACATTGGATAGTTGAGCAGCATAGTCAATATCAAGGAAAAACCAACGTATGGGCTGGAATAATTGAAGCTAGATTTTTTGGACCCATATTCTTTGACCAAAATTTAACCGGCGACAGATATTTGGAATTTTTACAAAATACGTTGGTACCTGAACTTATCCAAACGTTTCCGACAGAGATGGAACCGTTGATCAAAGAATTTTCTTCCAATAAGATGGGGCTCCACCCCATTACGCTCTCAATGTAGGACAGTTCTTAAATGACTTTTTCCAAAACAGGTGGATTGGAAGAAGGGGATTTATTGAATGGCCAGCTAGATCTTCTGATCTTACTCCATTAGATTTTTATTTATGGGGCTTCTTAAAATGTAATGTATACGCCACAAGACCCAATAATATTGAAGAGCTAAAAGATAGAATTAGAGAAGAAATTCGGCAAATTACACCAGAAACATTAAGAAGGCTTCTAGCTGAATTTTACCACCGTGTTGCTCTTTGTCAGGAAGTAAATGGTGCTCATTTTGAGCAGTTGCTAAAATAAACAAAACTTAATTTTTCATGAATTATCTTCCATTTTCATGTTTCTTTGATTAATTTGGGTATTCCTAACCATGTAGATGGTTGAATTTTGTGTAAATTTTTAAAACACACTGACTATAATTTTAGAGCCCAGTTTATGCACAACTAATTTTTCTTGAATTTCGTCCCCGATTCTTCTTTTTTCACGCTAGAAAATAGCATAACAGTTCAAATGAAAAAAAAATGGCACAATCAAATTTCTTTTTAAAATACCTTTCCAACAAGGTGCCGCAAGTGGTACCATCCCATTTAAAAAAATTAGGTCGGGGTGAGTTTCACCTTCTAAAGGGGATGAAAAAAAATTTTTTTTTTGGTATGACCGGAAAGCTTACAAAAAATCTCAATTGACGTGTTTTTGAGTTTTATCCGCATCTTTCAACCTGAAGCTGTAGCGAATTTGCGCCAGTTAAAGTCCCCACCCTGTATGTAAGTATAGGGGTAAAGTACATTAGTCAATGCAGATTTCCATATTAGCTAATAACATTTTATCTTAAAGATTCAGGCGTTTATTAAAAGATTGATTTGAGATTCAATATTCGTATAAAACGTAATGTCTTTTTTTAGCTGCTGCGGCAGTTGACAGTGACAGTGGTGCTGCTTAAAAAGTAAGGGAAATAGCCTTAAGAAAATGGCTAAGAAGGTCAACAGAAAGGAGTGCGTATAAAACCAATACATGCTTGATATTATTTATGACAATAAAAATAATGACCATAAGTTGTCCAAAAGCAATACAAAAAGAGTCCATATATGAACCTTTCATGGAATCCAAATGGACGTCCAGGAGTGGGACATTTGTATAGTCCAATAAATGTACATTGAACGTCCTTCGGTAAAATGCTGGACGTCCTTTGGACAGCCGATATGTCCATCAATGGACTTCCGATGGACATCCAATGGATTGACTTGTGCTGTCTGGGTAGCGGTATAGAGAACCATATAGAACTTTTAAAGTAAATATTTTTTTTATACTGGTACTATAAAATATAGGGTGTGCCGTTTAAAACGTTAAGGACGACGGCTCTAATTGCTTCGAAGTTCAAAGTACTGTATATAATAAGATATTACCAACCCAAGGGTCGAAATTGTTCTGGTATTTTTTTTTAATAAATGGTTTTATTTGATAGTTTTTGCATTTTTTAAAGTGAGAAAACAACAAATTATACAAAAAAAGTTTCAACGCACAGGTAACTTGCTTTGCCATACAAGATCATCATCGAGTCATTGGTGTGTCGCTTCAACCACCGAAAGCGTGATTGAGCGAGCGTAATTGAGTTGAACGAGACACGGATGCTACGAAAAAAAAAAAACCGTTAAAACATGAGTATCTTTTTAAGAGTTGAACTTAAATAATAATAAAATTATAACCTTAAATTTGTATTCTGGTTTGGGATATCCCGTACATATGAAACTAATTTTAAATTGCAGCCGCTACTGAGTTATATATTCGTGTCGAACGAATTTTGTAGCTTACCCACCAGGTTCCGTTCCGTTTAAGCGTGACGCATCCTGTATAGTTAAAAATGGTTGCACACAAATTAATCTGTGTTTAATGTATCAAGATTCACATTTTTTAACTATTATAAATATTTCCTTCTTAATTTAAATATCCAAAAATGTAAATTAACGATCTCGAGTCTATAGATGTTGTTTTTTTTTTAAAGCCTATCTCTATGGTTGAAATATCAGATGATTCAGACAAATTTCTAGTTATGGTAAGTAAGTAATCGTCGATGATTAAATCTCCATAGTCAGAAATAGATCGATAACAAAATAAAGAAGGAATAAATAAAATGTGTAAACAAAAAAGAAAAAATAAATTTCTTTAGTATTTAATAAAATATTTATTTTGGAAATTTTTTCATCGAATCTTTAAGTCTTTCATCATCTTTTTTATTGTTCTATAAATAAATATACAACTGCTTTCATATTTAGCAGATCGCTTTAGAAATGTTATAAAAAAGGTTAATAATATTTGCATTACTAAGTGCAAAATGTTAAAAAAAAAACATTTTTTTTGTAAAATAAAAAATGACACTGCTCTTTCTCGATTCGATTAAAATTTTTAGGTTATGGTGCAATTTAAGCCAATTTATCATTAAAAGTTTCCCAAAGTAACATAATGTAATCTTACCGCTTGGCACCCCGTTTACGGGTGTATATACAAACTGATGCGATTCTGATCTTTTACCGCTAGACTCTACACATAACCTCACCCCTACGGGTTCGGTTATGTCAGGTCTTCGATAAGGCGGAACCACACAAACAAAGTGTGTCTGAAACAAAAAAAAGAAGTTAAAGTTGTAATTAGTTATAACGTTTTAGAGTTAATTTTTACTGCCAGGTGAAAAGTTATTTATAACTAGACCTAGGAATATATACAACCAAAAAGTAGTTAAATATGCGCATATATATGCCACAAAATACTTCAATATATGCGTAAAAAATTGAAAAATATACAGAGCATATGCAATAAGAGTAATTTGTTATTTGATCGAAATAGTTTATTAATATTTATTATTTGTTTTATTTTACAATACCTAATATAATACTTAATAATTATTTAATTATTAACTAATTTTATTTACAAATCAACATTATTATAGAATGAATGAACAATTAGATGTTTTTCTAAATTATCTGTATTAAATAATTGTCTTCTATCAATAGGTATGTACTTGTACAAAGAAAAACTCCTTTCGACATCTACAGAAGTAATAGATGCAAACTTAAATTTTCTTGAAATATCTGGATGAATAGTATTAATATCTTCAAAGTTACCAGAATAAATATTAACAAGGTTTCTTAAAACAATAAATCCTTCATTTTTTAAAATTACATTTGAAAATTTATGAAAAATCGTCTTTCCAATATCGCCCTGGACATTTTTACACTCTGATTCAAACGTTTTAATTAAATTTACGGAAGTCACCAAAGGTAAATTTTTTTGTTCTAAATCTAATATAAGTTTGGGTACAAGTGCATAATTTTTTAAAAACATTAATTGCTTTGGTAATATGTGATTTGGATTATTTAATCGTATTAAAGGGATATTCGAAGTCACTAAAGCTTTGTATAAATCTTCATTAAAAATAGCTTGTTCACTTCTAGACGATCCAGATTCTAAATATTGTTTCAAGGGAAGTTGACTTTGTTTGCGAGTGTTTTTAGATTTCTGCTTTGCTATATGTGAGGGTGTTTTCGCGTGTTGGTCGATTTGAAACTTTTTTTTACATGGAATCTAAAACAAATAAATTCCTGTATATGTTGAAGTTTTAATTAAATTAAATAAATGCGTACGTTATAAAGTTGCCCTACTTTTTTTTAACTGTGAGTTGAAATAATATTTTACTGTCGTTTGATTTACCATTGTTAGTCTGGTTCACAAGTGCTATTTCCCTCGAAACCTGTCCTCCAGCACCGAAAATTATGATTTTGGGCTCATTCGATTCGGAATGGCATCTAGAACATTCTATCAAAATTCTAAGAGGGGCTGAAAAAAAATGCAAAAGTTATAAACAATAAAGTAAAATAAAAAATAAGGGTTTGGTTTTTTTGAAATATTTCAAAAACTATTTGAGATAATCGAAATTTGAAAAAAGATCCTTAAAGAGCAGGAAATTTCCTAAAAAAAGTCCTACCTCCCGGAACTGTACCAACAACCCTTATAATTTTAATTAAGCGGCGAAAATAACGGTAAAAACGCGTGGTTCGGCTGCCGCGCGCATCGCCCCAATCTTACACATGAACTAAAAAAAATATTTTAACTGATTAAATATTAATATTAAGGAATAAAAAAATTTTGGTACTAAGTAGACATATGAATAAACAATAATCCGTAAACAAAAAATTTTTATCACTATTTTTTTATTAATTATGCTTCTGTTAATTAGTTAATTTTTACCATTTTAATGTTAAAATAAAAACGCTGATTATTTCAAAACAAGAAATGATTTTTTTGAGCTATTGTTAAAAGGGTTTAGAAGAGATCCCTTTTGAAAAAATTCAAAAATGTTGACTTTTCACTTTTTTATTAACAATCAAAGGCATTAAAAAATTATTTATGTAAATAAAGCCATTAGGAAATTTTTTTTTCCAATAATTTTTTTCAATAAAAAATTATATATGGTTGTTTTTGTAATATTTTTTAGTATTTAAAAAAAAATATGTAAAATTGCCTTTGTTTATAACAAATTGTTTGTTTAATAAACAAATGAAAAATTAATAATTTTTTTTTTATAATACGAAAGAACATAATAAATAATGATTTTTAAAAAAAAAGGTTCCTTAATATTAATATTTAGTAACAAAAAAAATTGTTAATTAACAAGTGCGTTTTTTGTTAATAAAAAAATTTTTTTAAGGAACGATTTTTTTTTAAAATCATTATTTTCATCAAGGATAAAATTACAAAGAAAATATAATAATTGTTTATAACAATTATTTAAATAATGTTAGTTAAAAATAAAAAAATAATTGTTATATGGCTTTTATCAATAAGAAAACAAAATATTAATAATAATTGGAAAAAAATTTTTCCTAATGGCTTTATTTACATAAATAATTTTTTAATGCCTTTGATTGTTAATAAAAAAGTGAAAAATCAAAATTTTTGAATTATTCCAACGGGGATCTCTTCTAAACTCTTTTAACAATAGCTCAAAAAAATCAAAAACAATTCTAGATTTCTTGTTTTGAAATAATCAGCGTTTTTATGTTAACATTAAAATGGTAAAAATTAACTAATTAACAAAAGCATAATTAATAAAAAAATAGTGATAAAAATTTTTTGTTTACGGATTATTGTTTATTCATAATATGTCTACTTAGTACCCAAATTTTTTATTCCTTAATATTAATATTTAATCAGTTAAAATCATTTTTTTAGTTCATTTCTCAGATTGGGGTGATGCGCGCGGCCGCCGAACCACGCGTTTTTACCGTTATTTTCGCCGCTTAATTAAAATTATAAGGGTTGTTGGTACAGTTCCGGAAGACAGGACTTTTTTTAGGAAATTTCCTGCTCTTTAAGAATCTTTTTTCAAATTTCGATTATCTCAAATAGTTTTTGAAATATTTCAAAAAAACCAAACCCTTATTTTTTATTTTACTTTATTGTTTATAACTTTTGCATTTTTTTTTCAGCCCCTCTTGGAATTTTGATAGAATGTTCTAGATGCCATTCCGAATCGAATGAGCCCAAAATCATAATTTTCGGTGCTGGAGGACAGGTTTCGAGGGAAATGGCACTTGTGAACCAGACTATGTGAAATGTCAAAATAAAATATAAAATAAAAAAGTACTTACAATTTTAGAACATGGTTTACAAAACACCTGGTTATCACCTTCTACAACAAAATCTGAATAAGATTTTACCCACGACTCAATTAATTTTGCCATTTTTCCCACTGGTTAACACTACACAACAATAAAGACTGTAATGAAGTTGAAAGTAAACTGAGTCATTTAGAAATTTGAAGATATTAATACAACTACCTGAAAGGATATTTAGCAAAATTTGTTGGTTTAAGGAGGGTGTTTATAATTTAATTCTCTCAAGTACCTACACCATTAACCGTAATTTATTACAGGGAAAAGTTAATCCTTCAAAATTTTAGGAAATGCATTTCACAAAATATTATTTTGGTCCAAAACTCATAATTTTAATATGTCCAGTCAATTAGTACGTCAGATATATGCCAAAAAATTAACAAAATGTCAATATATGCATTCAAAATCAAAAATTGTATATATATGCAACATGTGCAAAATATGGCGTTTTGCATATATTCCTAGCTCTATTTATAACTATGACATTTAAATTTGAACCCAAATCTCTATTCTATATTCCATCAATTTAATTTTATGCTATAACCAATCATAGTTAAAATAGACATGGCAATGATGTAATATACCTAAACATAGAATTAAAAGTAAGCCCAGTACAGCATTGAAAATAAGAAAAAGTTATAAAAGTAATTTTAATATTGAGACCCTGACCAATTGTATATGTAATTATCCCAAAGGTATCCCCTTTCTAACAAAAAATAATCATAGAAATCGGATAACGTGGTAAAGAATTATCGCTAAACATACATAATAAAAAATTTTCCGACGAAATGAAAATCTCCTTCCTCCTTTTTTGAAGCAGGTTAAAAAGAATATATTTGACAGTTAACCATTACTAGAATTATTACTAACACAAATTATAATTGTAACCAAATAATAAAGAAATACAGAATACAAAATTAAAAATAACGTCCAATTATTTTAACCAAATTTTTATAGAATGTATGCAATATCAATTTATTATCATTAAACATGTACTTTTATTTGCATTTTTTTTAATCTTCCCACTAACGTAAAGTCTGATTGTAAGGAATTACTTTTTTGATTTGAATCAACTGCATATCGAAAATATAACAAATTTGCTGACAAATATTCCGACTTAAATCAAACATTAAAGGTAATGAAGGGGTTTGGATTCTGCCAATCCACGAGCATATCACTCTGTATCTTCCATAGTCGTTGTTTATAAACTGATTCATTTTGCAAGAAACAATATTTACATAAATAAAAAAAAGACGTTACATTAAATTCCCACCTATTTACAAGACTTCAGAAATTAGAACTAACCACGACTCTTCACAACTGAAGACTACATTACTACCGTGCGAAGGCAAAATAATGTACTAGCAATTTTGTCCGAATTGAGGTATCATGCCGGTTTTAAACTACAAAGTTCTACGTCTTTAAACCATAACTATATCTCTATTAGTTTCGCAATTAGTACACTGGATAAATAATGTACCATGCTTGTAAACGGGTGGACAAATTGTTTCAGAACTCGGTCAAAAATTGATATTTTTCGATGATTCAAAGTTCATTACAATGGGAAAACCCATAGGTATCGATCCATGTGCCTTGAAGTCCGTTATTTCCTGTCAAGAACATTGAAAAAGGGGTCAAAGTTGCGTTTTACTACTATTTTAGACCACTTTATAGTAATTCATTCATATTTTTTTTCTTTTAATAGTTTTTTATCCCATTTATGTTTTAAATGGGATCTTGAGATGTCTCAAATGATCTCAGAAAAGTTTTTCCAGTATCTTCCTGGCGTTTTAAAACAAAATTGATTTATTTATTTGCATTTTTCATACGTTTTCGGAGTTCTAGAAATCTTTGAAACAAGCAGTAATTAAAAACTCATATTTCATTATATTGTTATTCAATGCACACCATTTTAAAGCTTAGAGTGTCTACTTTTCGAATGTAT